GAAGAGATGCTCAATGTCATTACTCATTAGGGGAATGCAAATCAAAACCACAATGATATACCATTTCACACATCCTAAGACGGCAATAATTTTAAAAATGGAAAGTAAGTGTTGACACAGATGTGGAGAAATTGGAACTCTCATACATTGCTTGTGACAAAATGGTGCAGATGCTGTGGTAAACAGTTTGGCAGTTCTTCAAAATGCTAAACATGAAATTATCGTATGACCCAGCAATTCCACTTCTTAGTATATATCCAAAAGAATTAAAAGCAGGTACTCAAACCTACTTTTATGTAAATATTCACTGCAGCATTATTCATAATGGCCAAAAAGATGAGAACAATCTAAAGTGTTCATCAACAGATGAATAATGTTTCATATATACATACAATAGAATATTTTTTCATCATGAAAAGGAATGAAATTCTGATACATGCTACAACATGGATGAACCTTGAAAACATTATGTTGTAAAAGAAATGAGTCACAAAGGACAAATATTATATATATAATTCCACTTACATTAAATATCCTACATAGACAAATTCATAGGGAAAGAAAGTAGATTAGAGGTTACCAGAAGTGGCAGGGAGGGGAAAGGAAAAGTTATTTCTTAATGGTTACAGAGTTGTTATTTGGTGTGACTGAAAAGTTTTGGAAACAGACTGGTAATGGTTGCACAATATTGTGAATGCAATTAATGCCACTGAATATAGTTCAAATATATATTTATATAAAACAAATAACATATGTGTTATAATATATAATACACACACATATCTATATAAAACACCACGATTTAAAAACAATAAAATGCTTTGGGAAAATCTACATTAAAGAAACTACATAACTATTCAACAGTGCTTTCCAAACTTGTTTGACCTTGGAAGTTTTACAAATGGACTATATTTCAAAGGACATTTATGAAAGATAGAAACAAAATACAAGTGATCATAATGTTGAAAGGGAGAAAGATGGTCTGCAGCTACAAGTCCCCCTTGTTAAAGTGCAGACTGCTTCAGCAGGTCTCAGATGGGGCCTGAGGACTTGGCATTTCCAACAAGCTCCTAGGTGATGCTGATGCTGCTGGTCCTCAGCCCACAGTTTGAGTAGCAGGGGATATAATAGTGCTATATATGAAGAATAGCACTATTCTTCATGATCCTGTTCCCTACCATAGCCAATTAGATCAACTGATCTGAAAGCAAAGATGTTAATAGACAATAACAATTTATTATGCCTCCAACATAGCATAGTTATAATTTTACATGGATTTCTAAGATAAATGCCTTATTCCGAAGAAGATACTCTGAGAAAGTGATATATAGCAACAAAGAAGATCAATATGGGATGGGGATTGTCATATTTTGTGCAGGGGGCAGGTGAGGTGGAATTATTTTTTCAAATACTTTTAAAGTATGCCAGATCTATATTTTACTTCCATTTATATTTGGATTGCATACTTGAATTATGGCCAGATCACTCTTTCTCATAAGAATAAAATAAAAAATAAAGGAAAAAATGAGAGCAAGAGAGAAAGGGAAGGGGGTCAGGAAGAAGGGAAGAAGGGAGATAGGAGACAAGGAAGGAATGAAGGATAGGAATGATAGTGCCATGAAAAACTAGATGTCTACATAATTCTTTTTACCAGTCAGATTCTCATTCAACTCATTTTTGAATATCACTTTGCTGATAAATCAATTAGATGGGGTTAACTAGTGTAAAATGTTTCCTTCTATAGTTTACAGAACACGTTCATTCACTGGTGATCACATCTAAGAACATGTCCCTATCAATCAGAACACCTGAGCAGACTATTGTGCTAAATGCAGATGAAAGGTTGTGTTGACACATACTAGGATAACTCCTAAAAGTGGAGGGGGGGGGAACAGTTCTCTACAATTCAACCCAAAGAACTTGCAGGTCAACTTCCATATTTAGGTAGCTTATATCACTAGGATAATTGTATTGGCCTCAGGCATTTTACCCCTGTAGTTAAGAAAAATGTCCTTAAAGTTAGGCAATTTCTGCCTCGTATAAACTCTGTGACCTTGGGAAAATTAATGATCTTTATGCCTCAATTTTTCTCATCTGAGAAATGAAGGTAATGATAATTATTGAAGAATGAAATAAGGCATTCACTGGCACACAGCAAGGTTCAAATATATGTCAATTCTTAGTATATGCATGTGCTAATCCCTCATCAAAAAACATTTTTTCTTTCTAAGGTTTTATATAGACATGAAAATGAACCTTGAAACAAAATGCCCAAAATTGAAAAAGTCAGATGTAAAGGATTAAGAAAGGCACAAACCAATGTAAAATACCATGGTTAGCAGATCAGGAGGGCAACAGGATATTATGAAATGAGGGAAGTGCAACAAAATGGTTTAAAGTTTAGGTTTTTGGAATCAGAATGATGAGACACTGAGTCTCAGCTTTTCTAATTACTGTGATGTGACTTCAAGCAATTTAACCTCTCTAACACCATGTTTCCTCATCTGTAAACATTTACTAGAGCAATAAACAGATTCTTCTTTTGTGAGGATTATACTAGATGATTTTTAAAAATGCACTTAGCACAGTGCAGCAATATATGGTAACTTAAAAATTACTTTGACTTCCAGCAACATACTCATAAAGCCACTTACCAGGAAAGATAAAAACAAATATATAATGGTATGACCCAGCTTTCTAAATGCTTCCAAGCCAGTTGGGTAGGCTAGACAAGCAGAAAGTGTACAAGACAACCAATGTTTAAATTTTCAAATTTCTGCTTTTAAATGACATTTCTCTTTTTCCTGTTTATTCTTCCCATCATTCATGTTTTTGGTCTATCTTGCATATAAGAATTCAGGAAAGTTTTCCACCTTGAACTGGAAGATCTCAAAGGAAATATTTCATTGTGGAGAGAAAGGGGAAAAGCAACCATATATAATTTCTTGTGACTTGCCTCTGCCTTGTCTCATTTATTTCTTATTAGCAGAAAAAAATGTTTGTTACAAAATGGAATTTTATAGCCAAGAAAGAGGAGAAAGTATCTATTTTGCTTTGTTTTATTTTGAGCAATCAAAAAAGAAAAAATCAAGCAGAGTAGAAGGTGACCATGGAGAAGAATTCATCATGGCAGATGCTGACATAAGAGGGGCAGGGACAAATTAAAAATACTTGGAGCATTTCAAAGATGTCTACTGAAAACTGTTTTGGTAATATGATGGTGCCTGTGATTCTGTGCCTGCAAATATTTTTTTAAAAAATCACAATTACATTTCAAAAGGTAGACTTAAGGAGGGCTATAAGGGGCCCTCTCAAATGAATGAGTTAAAGAGGCGAAAGAAGAGAAAAACACACTGATAGTCCTGGTTTGCGTCTATCAAAATTCATTAGTAATAAGTATCCAAACTATTTTAAGTATAAATCCTGTTATACAAAAGTATGCATAAGAACACACTTGTACTTTCATTAGGAAAAGAGAGTTCTGAGGGTTATAAGGTGTTTTTCAAGGGTCATAGAACTCAGTACCTATCTTTTCATATCCCCACTGCAGAAGATTACACAGATATGAGCAAACACACATATAAAAGAAATCACAATTACTGTTTCATTAAAAACAGAAAAACTAGTTATGTTTCAAAGAATAACAACACATCTCTTTTACCAAAACACCTTGCTCCTTCTTTTACCAAAAAATTTTGCCTGGGGAGTTAAATTAGCCATTGTACACCAAGTTTCCTCATTTCTAGAACCCGACATGGACTTCTGAAGGAGTTTAAAAATGCAGCGTTTAAGTGCAGCCATAACTTGTATTTTCACTACCAGCCTTTGAGGGAGGCCTCAAGCCAAATTCCTCTTCTTTGAGATCCTACAGATTTGTTGGGTACTGAGCCAACTAGGGTGTTTCTTGCACTGGGCTGCTGATCCTTTGTCACATAAAGAGAGACACATTTCTACAGGAGAAGGCAGCAAATAAATAGATAGTTCATGGCAATATTAGCTCAGAAAGCATTAGGGGAAATTTCCACAAAGGCAATAAACATCTTCCCCAGCAAAATGTTAAGCAGGGAATCATTAGACAGTGATTTACTTACTGACAAAAGGTAAGAGAAAAAGAAAGCTGCAGTCAGGCTAGTCACTGGATCTCTGGAGATAAAAATGGACTCTTATTTTGTTCAAAGCACATCTAGGATGCAATAATCCTTGCTTTACACCATATTTACTAAGGTAACAATATGGACATAAATTGACATTTCTGTTTGTGTTTATGTCTTAAAATAAGTTAATTTTATTTGTTATATTTCTGTACATCATTTTTCATTGGTGGTCAGAGAATATAAAGAAGGAGTGGCGTAAATTCAGAGGTGTCAAGAAAATCAAAGTAACTTGCTGATTTAAAGAATGTCATACAAAAGGAGGTGGATGTTTCTGACTCATCCGTAACTTAAAATGCAGCTCCATTTTGACCTCATGACCAGGCTATTTCATCACTATGAGGCATCCGCTGTTGATGTCTACAATGTTGATGATCCTAAGGTCAAAAATAAAAAAGCCACCACCCAAAAGGCTATTTTAATAGAAACTTATGACAGTGAATTCAGTTCAGTAGTTTTCAGCTTATATTTTCCAAATCCAAAACGCTTCAGGGTAAGTTGCCATTGCTTAACAGCCATTATCCAAAATACAAGTGGGAATGTTTTCATTATGCACCTCTGGGTAAAAGTTTTTTTTTCAATCTCACCATGATTTTAATTTTATTCAAATCTCTAGCCAATTGCACAGATGTTAATGGAGGTGTATTTTTGCTTCAACGTCTATTGCAATATTCTCATTGCATTCTGCAGGTCCTCCAGTAAACGTTACTTGCAATATTTTTATCAACAGTTTTGGATCAGTCACAGAAACGACCATGGTAAGTCCTGCAATGCCACTGGCAAGAGAAAGACATGACTCAATTATGCCGTGAACACAAACTGTCAAATTTTCTATTGTTCAACTTGCAGGGCCTCCTGTAAATGTTACCTGCAACATATTTATCAACAGCTTTGGGTCAATAGCAGAAACTACAATGGTGAGTGGGGCTGAGCATTGAAGCCATCGTGTGAAGGAATGGTACGTGGGATTGAAGTGCACTGTGGCATATTTGTGAGACATTTACTGAGTGCCAATTTCCAACTTTGCTTGCCTCTGAAAAGCAATACTTTATACTACTTTATTTTGTAAAGTCATTTGTCAAGTGTTCATTACTCAATATTCAGTAATCTTATATCCATCATGCCAGAGAAATTTTTAAAACATTTGATGTTTTAATGGTTTTCTGTAGAATTATCCACAATAAACATGATGCATAGTTATGGATATTTAAATAGGTGCATCTCCAATGCTTCAGAAGTACAAATTTCAAAGTTTGAGAGATGTAATAGTATCACCAGTTTTATACATGAAATGGAATTTTTAAGATAGTTGAGCCTCCCTTTGATGCCACATTTAAGATATATTCCAAAGGGCTGAACTTAGAAAAATACACACACACACACACACACACACACAATTTTGTTGGCAAGAGAAAGTAGTTCCAAGTCCATGACAATTATACCATATGCATGCCTTTTCCAAAAACAAAAAACAAACAAACAAAAAAACTGTAAACTTAAAGCTAATTAGAAGCTCATTATAGAGTATGAGTAAACATGTTTCATATATGTGAAAAAGATTTCAGATACTATAAAATCTACAGTGCCTTTAAATTTTTTTTTTTTTTTTTTTTTTTTTTTTTTTTTTTGAGATGGAGTCTCTCTGTCACCCAGGCTAGAGTGCAGTGGCACGATCTCGGCTCACTGCAACCTCCACCTCCCGGGTTCAAGTGATGCTTCCACCTCAGCCTCCCAAGTAGCTGGGATTACAGGCGCACACCACCATGCCCGGCTAACTTTTGTATTTTGGTAGAGACAGGGTTTTACTATCTTGGCCAGTCTGGTCTTGAACTCTTGACCTCAGGTGATTTGCCCGCCTCGGCCTCCCAAAGTGCTGGAATTACAGGAGTGAGCCACCACAGGATCTCACTCTTCTGCCCAGGTTGGAGTGCAGATCATGGCACACTGAAACTTCAAACTCCTGGGCTCAAATGATACTCCTGCCTCTGCCTCCCAAGTAGCTAGGACTACAGGTGTGCATCACCACATCTGGTTAATTAAAAAAAAAAATAAATGTGGCAATGAGATCTCACTATATTGCCCAGGCTGGTCTCAAATTCCTGGCCTCGAGCAATCCTCCTGCCTCAGCCTCCCAAAGCACCAGCATTACAGGCATTAACTACTACACCCGGCCTTCTAAACACTCTTCATAAATATCATGGTCATGTTACCTGTGACATAGCCTATTGGATCATTAAGAGTTCTAGGCTACAGCATGGAGGTTGCATTTGGGCGAGATATTTTCTTGGTCCCCATATTATTTACTTTAAGTCCTAAATCAATTGGCTGGATCTAATTTGCATGACTATGTAAAGTTTACAACCATTCATTTGATAAAACCAAAATCAAGTGTAATTGAGTTTGACTAAGTATTATGGTGCCTGATGTCTTAAAAATAATAAGCATAATGCCATTGAGAAATTTTAAAAAGTTTCCTTGTTTTTATGAATTTTCTCTTTTTGGCAACTAACATCATGTTTAATAAATTACTGTACTTTGTGGTGTCCTTCATGTTAGGAAGAATTAATTTACCTTTACCACTTTTTTCCCACTGGCAAAATTAGACATAATTCAACTCCACTACCCATTTTGATATTATTCTGAAACATTATTACCCAGAAATGAGACTTGTGAGACTTTGACAGGATGTAGTGAATTTAAAAATTTACCTAAATAGGATAGTTTTGATAGGGTTATTAAATGACTCATAAGAAAAGCTAAACACAGAAAGAGTATATCAATTTCCGGGTTGACATTCAGTTTCTGTCTCTCCCCTCTTGGCTTTATCGTAATAAGAGAGGGGGCAAAGCTTCCAGTAGCCCAAATCACTGTCACCAGCTTTACACGATGGCATTCAATGAAAATATTTGCACGACCTAATGCTGATTGCATTAATTAGACTCCCATGTTGCTTTGATTAAATCTCCTCATTGCATCGTATTCTCAATCAAAAATGTAAATGTGTACCTTTTCGATGTTCATTACTGCAAAAAAAGCTAAACATTTAAAGAGATTAAAATGGAAGCTATGGATATCCTTGTTTTCTCCTATATTGAACAGCTACTGAAAGTTTAATAAATGAGATGCTCAGGTACTTCCCAGTCACTTATTTAGTGACCTTTGTCATGCTTCTTATCAGAAAATTTGGAAACTGTTGCTCAAGGGTAACATACACAGCCTGTCTATTCTGCTGTATAATACGGATTGAATTGCATGGTTAGAAGACTGATGTATATTGTGCTTCTTTTGTTTTACTTCTTAGCTTTGATATAATGACAAACTTCATTTGCTTTAAAAATATATTTTGTTTTATTCAATTTTGGCTTTGGTGAAAAACTACAGAAAATATTTTTTGGAACTCTATCATGCTTGTCAAAGAAGAAATCCTCAGGCCACCTAGGGTAGGGAATGGCAAATTTTTTCTGTAAAAGGCCAGACAGTATACTTAAGACTTTAAGAGCCAGATAGTCTCTGTCACAACTATGTGATTCTGCCCTTTTGGCATGAAAGCAGCCATAAACAATAGTAAGCAAATAGTTGTGGTGGTGCACCAATAAAGCTTTACTTACAAAAACAGGCCAAGGCCCAAGTTAGCAAATAGGTGTGGTTGTGTACCAATAAAGCTTTATTTACAAAAACAGGCTGAAGCCAAATTTGGGCCACAGGCCATAGGTTGCCAGCCCCAGATTTAGGGCATCAGTATTTAAGTGGATGCATAATAAGAATGTGAGAATTGCTCCAACAAGAAAGGGCCTTATCTTCCAAGATAATTGAGGCCCTGCCTGGGACTCCACCCGGTAAACCAGTCTTAATTAGCTCAGGCTGTGATAACAAAGTATAGATTGGTTGGCTTATAAACAACAGAAATTTATTTCTAACAGTTCTGGAGGCTGGAAGTGTGAGATCAGGGTACTAGCATGGTCAGGTTCTGATGAGAACTCTATTTGGGTTACAGACTGCTGAATTCCTCTGGTATTCTCGCATGGTAGAAAGAAAATTATCTGGAGTCCCTTATATAAAGGCAGTAATCCCTTTCATACTGCTCTACCCTCACAACCTCATCACCACCCAAAGGCCCCGCTTCTACCCTCTAATACGATCACATTGGAGGTTAGAATTTCAACGTATGAATTTTGAGAGGATTCAAACATTCAGTCCATTGCACACCCAAAGTGTCATCACAGCCCAAGTTTTCTTTACTATACCCCTACGATTTCACCATCCATAAATTTACTGATAGTTTCACAAAATTTGACTCAGAAAAATTGGTCAAAAAAATTAAACAGAAACAGATTCTTCCCTGAACTGTCTTTAGTTGTAGTCAGAATCCTTAGCTTTATGCACAGTGATGAGGTCATTGAGGACATTGATTAGTGCTATTTTCTGGGGTAATAGTTTTGATTTCTCTACATTTTCCAGAATAAACTATGTCCAAGAATGCCTCAGAATTTTGAGTTTCTAAATCTGTTGACTTTCCTCTCTTCCCTTACACTTCACTCTCACCCCACTATCCAAAGAGCATTATTAAAAGTTTTAGTTTGGGGTATTTGTTTCCAAATAAAAGGCAATGATTATGTATTTAAAGAACTCAACATGGCTTTCTTTGTTGCTATCCAGTCTGCCCTTCCTATGGTTAATGAAGTCCCACTAATTTATTGTAGGTATTGCCTGCCCACAAAGTATAGGCCTGCTTACAGACCTAATACCAATGATCACTCTGATATGTTAGTGTCAGAGATATGTACTCACAGGACAACACATTTGTGTTACTCTAAGGAATATTTTTATGTATCATTATTTTTATGGATATATCATTCAAAAATGCATTTTTGTTCATTAAGAGACACAAAAATCTGTCAGTGGTCATTGCTAGTTGCCCTAGCATTAAGAGTATTCAGTGGAACAAATTTTGTGTGTCCCAAAGACTTAGATGACTAATAAGGAGAAAATGATAAGATAGGTTATATTCTGTTTTTGAAATGCGAGTTTACCATTTTCTTTTATTTTTCTCTTTTCTTTAGTTTCTGATGGCAAGTGAATTTACAGGATGGGGAGTATATTTGCAACCCCTGTTTCCTTATATAAAGGCAGAGTTTGAGAATTTTAGTAATGTCAGTAAGGGTCAAGGGTGCTTTCATACTACCGTCTGTATATAGCTTTCCCCCAAGTTTGGGCCATCAGAAAATAGAGAAAAGATGCTCTCTTCCCAGCTTCCAAATGACTGCCTGGAAGGATGTAGGTAGATAGTGTGTGATTTGGACATATGGATGCTGGAACACTATCCATGACACAGCAGTAGATCCTACTCTGCTCCTCATTTAACAGATAGGACGGTGAACTGAAAGTGTACAAAATGTGTCTGCTCAGAGAACATCTCCAGAATATAATTCTAGGTCCCTCAAATCCTTCCCCAAAACAAACATTTCACATGCTTTGCTGGTTTCTTCTGCAGAATGAAGAGTTGTTTTATCTCCAATCTGAAATCACACTCCTGAAGAACTCAGATTAAGGAGATAGACAGCCCCTTATTAGAATGCATGTCATGCTATAACTTCTGAAATAAGACTATGAGTCCCCTTTCATTCTATAGCTGCATAAACAAGTTATAAGAAGATGCTAACTTATCAGGGATAGCAGGTTGCTACATTTCTTATTTCTGACTTCTTAAGGAAGAATCAAGAATCTATTACAAGTCTGACTTTTTTGTTGTTGTTGTTGAAATGGAGTCTCCCTCTGTTGCCCAGGCTGGAGTGCAGTGGTGCAATCTCCGCTCACTGCAACCTGCGCCTCCCGGATTCAAGCGATTCTCCCGCTTCAGCCTCCCGAGTAGCTGGGTCCACAGGCATGCACCACCACACTTGGCTAATTTTTGTATTTTTAGTGGAGACGTTGTTTCACCATGTTGGCCAGTCTGGTCTCGAACTCCTGACCTCAGGTGATGCACCCACTTCAGCCTCCCAAAGTGCTGGGATTACAGGCGTGAGCCACAGCACCTGGCTCAGGTCTGACATTTTTTTAAACAAATATATAAGGTGACCTTGGTCTCTAAATTAGCAGTGCAATGGTAAAGCTTCAATTTATCATAAAGTAACTGCCCCCTATAACTTCAAACTCAAGGTTAACTTCTCATATTAAAGCTCACACAGACTTGAGATTAGGCCTACTTTGGGCACTCTTCCCAAGAGCTGCTACCTCCAAAATGCTCTATGAACTTGATCATCAGAATGAATGTATTTGAAAAAAAGTCATGGGAATTTGTATAGTTTAGTAAATAGGTAAAAAACCAAAAACTGTATTGAAGCTTTTTTCCATACACCCTGATCTTTACAACTTAATTATTTTTTTCCCTTTTGATCCTGGGGGAATTCGCCCAAACTTGCCATCCTGAAATTGTCTCCAGAGTAGAGTGACTCCCAGTGGAGTGACCAACTATCCCAATTTGCCTACACTGAGGAAGTTCCTTGGGTGTGAGAGTTTTGGGGCCAAAATTGGGAAGTTCTCAGGCAAACCAGGACAAGGTAGTCACCATTAGAGTAATGTAAACAATGACCAAAAATCCAGGTGCCAAATATGTAGAGATGGAGCAAGTAAGGGTAAAAAATGTAAAGAAAGAGAGTAAGAATGAATTAGTATATATCACACTTGTGGTCACAAGTAGCAATAGTGGATAACTACTAGCTCTGAAACCACAGACTGGCTTGGTTAGGGAATACTGTTGAAGCCTCAATCGGAGTCCAGATTATCAAGTGACGTAGTACTTTCAATGAACCTAAGGTCTTTGAGTAGAAGTCCCCAGGAGAGCAGTCACTGCCCCCAAGCTATTCATTAGCACAGAAGAAAATTCCCAGACCAAATGGGAATGCCAGGGGTTTACCTAAGGCTCCCACAGTGTTCCGATTGAGAACATGAAACATCTCTGTTTGGATGAAGCATCAAGTTGGCTAGTGTAGATACAACACATTCAGAGAAAATGATAAAATAAGAATTTCAAAAGTAAGTAGCTGCAAGGAAAATATTTTGTCAACATGAAAGATCTTAATGTTTATGTTGATAAATTTTAAAAATATTGCCCCATCATGTCATAGTTTTATAAGATTTTCACTACTCAAATTACACGGTGGGTTTCCTTCTGCCCACAGCATCTGAGCAGAAAGGGACCAGAGATCATGTGATTTCTGATTTGGAAAATAAATCAGTTTTATTTGACAATCTGCCATCACAGACTGATTTCTGTGTTCATTGTTTACCTTTTTCTGTAGCAAAATCAGCTTGAGTTAGTATTATCTCATCCCAAAATGAATAATTCAAACACTAAAAAATTCAACCAAGTCAACCTGTTTTATTGGTGTTCTGGTTTGGTTGAATCTTCCTTTTTCTTTCTTCTGCCTTCTGTCCCCTCTCCTAATGGAACTAAATGGTTTATTTTGACCAAGGTATACACAGTTTGGTTTACTTGGACACCAAAGCTGTATCAAATTAGGGAGAAGAATGAGAGGGAAATGCAAATATAACTCTTATGCCAGGGTAATCAGTAACACTTGTCCATGACATTTCTGTAGGACTACCGAGTGAATATCTTTCTGAGACAACAGTGGAATGATTCACGGCTGGCGTACAGTGAGTACCCAGATGACTCCCTGGACTTGGACCCATCTATGCTAGACTCCATTTGGAAACCAGATTTGTTCTTTGCTAATGAGAAGGGTGCCAACTTCCACGATGTCACCACTGACAACAAATTGCTACGGATTTCGAAAAATGGCAAAGTGCTCTACAGTATCAGGTAAGCCTCCACTGGCTGCACATGTTCGCATCTCCATTTCTCTGCTAACATAGAGCTGCCTGATTCTGCAGGGTAGGATGTATATGAATATTTGACTTTTGTGGTTTCTTGTTTATCATTTGAATTTTAAAGTTGGTGGAGAGTATCAGAAGTCCCCTTGGTCTCGTAAATGTGATTCTCCATAACAAAAATGTATTTGGTAGGATGGTACACGGTTAATGGTATTGTGTAATCACCTGCACAAATGTGTTCCTGATTGCTTCAATAAAGGAAGTACAGGCTATTCATTTCAATTGCCATTAAGCATAATATACGAAATCTCATTTCAATAATTCTGTCATTCTGTAACATTCAAACACACACACGCGCGCGCGCGCACACACACACACACACACACACACAAATTCAATAGCTCAGCATAGTCATTAACAACATACTTTTAGTTGGATAAGTGGAAACCTGGTTCCAATGTCAGCTTTGCTTCTAAGTAAACATGTGACCTTGATCTCTTAACTTTTCTTGGACTTGGGCCTGGGACAGACAACTCCTGAGACCCATTTTTGCTGTTATATTCAAATATCTTCTCCAGAAGTGTTATCACTCTAGGCTCAAAATAATCTCCCCCTTTTCTGAACTCTAATAGCAATTTCTCTGTAAGGCTCTTATTTTTTCCTGCCTTATATTTTGGTTACTTCTGTTCATGAGTATAGCATAAAAACATGGATTTCTGGAATTAGATCTAGAATCAAACCCAAGTTTTGCCACTTACTAAGTTATGTAACCTATAACCCTCAGTTACCTTAATTTTAAAATGGGAAACTCCATGTTTATCTCTGAATATTCTTGTGTGAATGAGTAATGTAGTGGTCAGCAAATATTTTCTGTAAAGGGCCAGATATTATCTTAAATGTTGCAGACCACATTGCCTCTGTTGCAACTACTCAACTCTATCATTATAGCTCAAAAGCAACCATAGGTAATATGCAAACAATTGGACATGGCTGTGTCTCAATAAAATTTTATTTACAAAAATAGGTGGTGGACTGGATTTGGCCCTTTGGCTGTAGTTTGCCAACCCTAGATATAAAGTATATTAAAAATACTTGCCACAGTACCTGACACAGAGTAAATGTTTGATAAAATAATGGCTATCTGTATTTTGAAATCAGTTCTTTTTTTTAATGCTCAGCATCTCTAATCATTAAAGAAATGCAAATGAAAACCACAATGAGATACCATCTCACACCAGTCAGAATGGCTATTATTAAAAAGTCAAAAAATAATAGATGCTGGTGAGGTCACAGAGAAAAGGGAACACTTATACACTGCTAGAGGGAATGTAAATTAGTTCAGCCATTGTGGGAAGCAGTTTGGCAATTTCTCAAACAACTCAAAGCAGAATTACCATTCGAACCAGCAATCCCATTATTGGATATATACCCAAAGGAATATAAATCATTCTACCATAAAGACACATGCACGTGTATGTATGCTCATTGCAGCACTATTCACAATAGCAAAGACACAGAATCAATCTAAATGTCCATCAGTGGTAGACTAGATAAAGAAAATGTGGCGGCTGGGTGCCGTGGGTCATACCTGTAATCCCAGCACTTTGGAAGGCCGAAGTGGGCAGATTACGAGGTCAGGAGTTCAAGACCAGCCTGGCCAATATGGTGAAACCCCATCTCTACTAAAAAGTATAAAAAATTAGCCGGGCATGGTGGTACGTGCCTGTAGTCCCAACTACTCAGGAGAATTGCTTGAACCCAGGAGGCGGAGATTGCAGTGAGCCGAGATAGTGCCACTCCACTCCAGCCTGGGTGGCAGAGTGAGACTGTCTCAAAAAACAAAAACAAAAAACTGGCACTATACACCATGGAATACTACACAGACATTAAAAAGAATGAGATCATGTCCTTTGCAGCAACATGGTTGGAACTGGAGGGCATTATCCTGAGTGAACTAACACAGGAACAGAAAAATATTGTTCAGTGAATAGTACAGAATAGTACAGTACTGTTCAATTGAACATGCAGTGCAAATGCTGCATGTTCTCACTTACAAGTGGGAGCTAAGCATTGAATATATATGGACACAAAGAAGGGAACAACAGACGCTGGGGCCTACTTGAGGGTAGAGGGAAAGAGGAGGACGAGAATCAAAAAACTGCCTTACAGGATACTATGCTTATTGCCTGGGTGGCGAAATAATCTGTACACCAAACCCCCATGACATGCATTTTACCTATACAAGAAACCTGCACATGTATCCCTGAACCTAAAATCAATGTTTAGAAAAATTAATGTTCTTTTTCAGTAGTAAGCTCTTAGCTCTTTCAATTCAAGATATTTGGTTTTTGTCTTTTTTGTAACATCTACCAAAAGTCTAGGACAATGTACTGTATATGAGAGATAGTACATTGAATAAACTATTGGCATTTAAAGGTCCTTAATAGAATGCCCCCCTTCTCTATATAATTTTATTACCAAAAAAGTGGACAGCTAGTCTCCTTGCAAATAATTTTTCCAAGTTTGCAGACTCACCATCATCACAACCTCATTTGACAACTCTATATATGATTTGGTTCTGTACTGTAAATTCCATTCTTATACCTAATAATTTCACACCCTGCTGATGGCTGAGAGCCCCAATGTCTTGTGGAACAAAAGAAGCTGCTCATTTGTAAAAAGTGGCAAAGTCACTGCTTGCACAGAAAACCAGGAAACTTCCCCCAATGACCATTTCATTTTTAAGGAAACACAAAACATTCTCCATGGTGATGTGTTTGGTTGGTGTAAAATGCAGTACTGAGCACAACATAAGTCGATCGGACCTGATAAAATGGGACATATGTAGAGTGTGGCGCTAGGAAGGAGAGTTATAAAAAGCAGCGCAGAGCATCAGCTGCCCCAGCTAATCCCCTGGGCGTTGGGTGGCATTTGCTCTAATGAATACCAGGCATCACATACTGCTGAAATAAAATCAGGTTGTTGTTGCTGTTGTTGCTTTCTTGCTGTTTTACGGAGGTCTTTACATTCTAGAATCATCAAGAATATAATGCTCCCAAGCCTAGACCCAGAGGCAATTCTTCTATCTCTGGTTCCCAAGCATAGCACATAACAGGCCCTGAAATACCCTAACAATTGTTTTGGATTAGGTGGGGTTTGTCCTGTGGCAGGCTGTTTTATACTTTTCTTTCATTGTGAGTGTTCTCTGAAATCAAAATAAAAAACCTTGGTAAAGGAGAATTGGGGATATCATTTTAAGAAAATACAAGCTGTTGGGAGATTTGAGCTGTAAGAATCTAATTTTTTGCTTTGAAGGGCTTTTGATGAACCAGATACTGTGCTGGGTCTAGAGATCCAGAACTAAGTAAGATGTGGTCCTTCCCCCGCAATGACTTCAGTCTAACAAGGCAGGGGGAAACATGATAAATTAAGTAATAGGAATAAATAGGAAACAAGGAAAACAAAAGTGGCTCTAATTTTGCAAATGAATTATGTGACCAAAATATTGCCAGAATTTGGGAGTTGGCATCCACACTCCTGTTTGTCACTGGGCTCAATTTAACTAGAGGTCAAGGAGTAACTAGTGCTAATATATGCCCAGCTGCAGGTTTGACTCAAGTTTAAGGCCAAGGCAGGTACAGTTGTGTCCATGTCTTTTTTTTTTTGTTGAGACGGAGTCTTGCTCTGTCGCCCGGGCTGGAGTGCAGTGGCCGGATCTCAGCTCACTGCAAGCTCCGCCTCCCGGGTTTACGCCATTCTCCTGCCTCAGCCTCCCAAGTAGGTCCATGTCTTAAAGGTGCTGAAAAGTTCCTGCTGAAAAGTTCCTGCTGAAAAGTTCCATTAGGAAGTAATTCCCCTGCATACTCAGGTTTACAACACAAATACTCCCAGGAGAGGAAATCCACTGGCTTAAATCCACACTAAACTCTAAAAAGCTGATATAAAATTTATTTCTGAGGATGAACATATTGGATTCCTAAGAGTATAAATGGGATAGAATGAAGAAAGGTTGAGAATGATACAAGGAAGGGGCTAGAAGTACCAAAAAAAAACCCCTAAAACTGTCTCCACATACACAGTAAATACTTAAGCAATTATTTAATTATGTAAGCATGTGGTCCACATTTTAAAAAGTAATGTTCTGTCTTGATACTCTGTATTTGCATTTTCCTAAAACTTAAAGCAAATACCACTTGCATTTAATCTGGGGAAAATTCCATGCTTTTCTTAGCTTTGTAGGTGTAGGGGTAGAATTAACTCTCTATGGACACCAAAGTTCAAGGCTTTGATGGTCAAACAAAACAAATAGAGAACTATACAGTTCATTGATTTCATAACAAGCAAGATCACATTTCCCAATACTTTATATATCTGTATTCCAAAAGGTAGGGGTCTAAAAAAAAGAGAGATGGCAGTAGACTAGAGCTCCCTAAGTATCCTCCTTATGAACACTTAGGGTACTTGACTAAAATTCAAACAAATCTTTTAAATAGGAAGGAAAGGCCTTAGCTCAGTGTTAATAAACCTTTTATCCAGTGTAGTAGGGCACAGTCTTTGTTGATGAAAAAGGACCAAATCCATTTCTGTCCATTTTTCTTCTTTAGTATTCATTCTTTAATGTTTTATCTTACTCTGTTTTTTTCCTAAGTTTTTTGTTGGCCCGCCCCATTAATTATTGATCACCTCTGACAAAAGTATACATTTTGATTTGTAAACCCTCTTCAGAGAAAGTCAGTAATCCGGAGACCATGCTGGGCCTAAAGATCAAGTACTGAGTAAGATGTGATCCTTCATCTGGGATGGGGAAAGAGAGTCAAATTCTAAATTCAGAGAGAGTCAAATTCTAAATTCACATTACTTACAATGAATCCATACTTGAATCCATACTGAAATAGTGAGGTGAATTTTGAAGGTTGTACATATTATTGTTTAAACAATATTTGTTGAATTTAATATAAATGAGTTGGAATAAAGGTCAGGACATCATGG